CTGAAAATGCTCCATGCGTCTCATTTTTAGTTAAAAATGAATGATATTTGGAAGAAAACATCTTGTTACATATTAAAGTTATATATATATACATTGTTACATATATATACATTAACTTGTTACATATTAGATCTGTGTATGCATTTTTGGATATGAGGTTATTAAGAAGTTTAAACTTGTGATAATGTTTAACGAAAGGTGACTTTTTTTCGAAAACTGGGTTTAAGTTCACAAAAATCCTTTTTAAAAATTTCTGATCCATTACATTCAAGAACGGATACACAAAAACTTTTTTAAAGTCTTTATAACTAACTAAAAGGGAAAATTAGGAAAAAATAGTGAAAATTCGCGCAAACTTTTAAATCTTTAAAAAATAAAATGGGTTTAATTTAAAATAATTAAAATAAATGAAATTTAACAAATATAAACTGATTAAAATCATATGTAAAAATTTCTTTTGAAACAAATTCCTAAATTACTAAAGAACTTTAACCTAGCGCGTTAAATTCGCATAACGCCTTTATGTAAACTACTCAAGAACTCTATTATCGTCCTCACACAGCTCGATAACATAATAACCAGCTCGATAACATATATTTACATATTCACACTATTTTTGCACTGTAATAATCAAATTTACATAGAAATTCTCTGAAATATGCAGTTTTGAAATATTTGCAACAATAACTAGCCAAACTAATGGAAAATGATTCAGTCCTAAATACTAAAGCAGTTCAGCAGCATAGTACAAAAAATAGGAATGACACATTACTAATTAATATCTGAAACAAATATATACAAGTTACAAATCACGAATGCAATGGATTCAGTAATTAAACACACCAATTTCTCGAAATTAACAGTGATTTTAACCTAGCACTTTAAAATTTCATTTCACTATAATGCCTTTATGTAGACTACTCAAGAACTCTACTATCGTCCTCACACAACCCGATAACAGTATAAATATTTACATATTCACACAAAAGAAAGAGCTCTTGGTTTGTATGTTATGGCAAAGTACCCGAAGGATATCTGCCTCAGCCAACTTGTTCGCCTGCGATTGAACCTAGCGTACAGCGGTTTTCAATTCGGTCACTAGTAGGAGCAAATTTTCAAGATAAACTGGCTCGTACTCACGTTACATATGAGGAAAAGCCACGAAAACTGTCATGCAGCCAAATCATTCTCTTGAATTTGAAACTTCGGTCAAATTACCAATGTTTAATGACTTTACCGCTTGATCGCTGGTGAACGCACAGCTCTTGAAATTAGTCTTATGAGATGCTGTGTGTTGAACAATATATTAAAGAAGATAGAAGGTACAATATTAGTAAACGCAAAAGTGCGCTGAATATAGATTTACATATCTGGTAAATGAATTATATTTATCTCTATGCAATCATGAAACATTATATATCACAAAATATAAAGGAAGAAGAAAATGTAATCAAAATATTAGGAGCATTTGCTATTATTTCCGGTATGGCTGGAAATTTTTATAAAAATTGTAAATGAGCTATACTATTAATCACGTTAACTTGTATTATAAATAGCGACAGTTAGAGATATTATTAGCATAACTCAGCGTCATCTCTCTTTAAAAATAGTTTTATTGAAACCTAAACCTAAACTGAAAAATAAGATGCATACTAACGATTCATCAACACGAAGACGTTAGAAATATCTTCTGTTAACTAGAGTTATGATGCAGAACTTTCTAAAAATTATCATTTAAATAAAAATTAGATGAATACAATACAACAATATACAAATTCTAATGTATAGCAAAAAGAAATATAAAAATATAGCAAAAAGAAATGCAAGTTTAAAAAGAAATGGGTGAACAGGACATTAAAAATTTTAAGCGATGAATAGAAGGAAGTTAGAAATTTTTTGTATAATTATGAACATGTTTCATATGTTCATAATTATTAATTAAACGTGTATGTGTTTAATTAAATTAAATGTATTTCATTGCATATCGGTGAGAGAAGTATTGGAAAACAAAATAAATTTTTTAACATTTCTTATATTTCTTAAAATATGGAGTCTGTAAGAAAGTTAAGTAACTTCAAGTTCAGTGATTAAAAATTGGAAAAGTAAATAACGGCTTAATATGACATATATTATAACAATATTTGTATGAATTTAGAACCGTTTAACAAGCCGAATTTTGGGATTCAATGAAAAGAATTTTAAAATTAGATTAGAACTATTTACCTAAAATGTTGAATTTGAAATTTAAGATCTAAGAAAATTCATAAATATTTATCTAGACAAAAAAAATTTAAACTGCGCTACAAATTAATATTAGTACCGTAGTATCTTCTCTTAAATCCGATATTTGATAGGTTGATTTAATATATATAGTAGATATATATATCAATTTCTTGTAGGTTCATTAATTTATCTGGTTTACATACGTCAAAACTGATATATTAAACATTACCTCCAAAGTGAAGTTAAAAGTGGACAAGTAATGTTAAAACTAAATAGGAGAAAATTCAAATTAAACTCGGTTATTACACTTCTTAAAATTACATCAGTAAATATGGATGGTAATTTTAAGAAACACGATAACTCAGTTTAATTTCAATTTTTTCCTATTTAGTTTTTGACATTAATTGACCACTTTTAATTTCAAGAATTGGGAGATAATATTTTAGTACATTAACTATCGCTTTGCAAGATTTTAACTACTTAAGTCCCAAATTTCTTCTTTATATAATAATTGTCAAAAATAACATATAGCAGCTAAATGTTGCAACTTGAAAATTTTTTAATTCCTGTGGAGCATAAACAAGTTCTGACTCATCATTCTTTATTATAAAAATATAATATGAGTATAAAAGAAAGTAATTCGTTCGTAATTCATAGTTTCTTCTTTGTGTGTCACCCTTTGTACATTAAAGTGGGGGACTGAAAAGTTGACCATTGTTAGTTGTCGAGGAGAATTGCATGGAGGTAGAAAATAACCTCCTTTCTTACCTCCATGGAGAATTGAGGAGGGCTTCAATTAATTCCGCGAAGTTGGTATACGACCGGGCAAGACATTTTGAAGTGAGCTTGCATAAAAGGGGCAATAATCCCTTTTGGGAAGGCAAGCGAACGGCAGTGAAAAATCAAATGAGGTTGGTCAACACCCCCTAGATCTATTATATTTAGGCTGTGTTGAGTTGGCAGAGGCGCGAGCCTCGAGGACAGGGTCGTCTGACCTTGTCAGTGACGCCTGGAGTTCCTCGATTGTCCTCTCTCTGATCTTATCTTTACAGTCGTATTCGGATGTACTTAGCTTTCTTTTAACTGTTTGTTTCATTAAAATGGTTCTTAGTAATTAATTATAAATATTCTTAAAAGTGGTCTTTAAAATTACTAATATTGTATGAAAAATTAGACAACATTCCAAATACGATGCAGTAACACGCTTGAATTTGCCGCCCGGGGCACAGACTCCGGCTTGCCCCCCTCTAGATCAGGGACTAAGAAGCATCAGTAATACTGAAACATGTTCATATAAAAGGATGCTTTTATAAGAACTTGTACTTAATTCTAAATTTTCATGGGCAGGTTGCTGAGTTTTTGAGTTTAAATATTAAATTAGCATGTATATTTAGTTCTTGAAAACTAGTGGTTGTGTCAGTCCATAGTTTGAGACAACATGTGCCTTACGTATATGCATTAGAATTACGTTAGTCTATTTCCTATGGTAGATCTTTTAAATAAATACCCTTGAAAATCTTTTTGAGCTACATGGTTTTAAAAGAAAAAATTCTGCACATAAATTATGTAACTAGCAAGATTAAAAATAACTTCAAATTTATTTTTTGAATATTTAAAATGTATACAGATAGTACTTTTTTATTATTTATTATTATAAATGAAGAAAAAGTATTATGAAAAATTATTAGGTTCACTGCAGTGAACTCAGTTGCACAAATTTTTATACTTTTCTTTTTGGCATTTATATTATAGTATACAAAATGTGTTAATTTGCAGTTTATGCTATCAATGAGATACATTCCGCAAGAGAAGAAGAGGAAAAATGCGGTAACGTGTTCTAGTAACTACAACATCCGCATGTGCTCTGAAGCTGGAAAATTAATCATGTACGCCACATTACCGGGTTCACTACTGGAATTTACCAGCAATACAAGCAGGCTTCTAACCCCGATTCCAGGCTCAAGACTGCAACGGTAGCACTATTCATCCAGAACGAACATGAATAATTACGCCCATACGGCCAATCCAAATACCAAGCAACATATTAATTATGCCAAGTTTATGTTTTATGATAGTAATGGTATTAAAAATAAAAAAAAATTGAAATTGAAAACTACATCAACCTGCACAGTCTGGATGTAATTTTATTAAGTGAAACCCACCTCAAACCTAATGACAAATTTAAAATTCCCAACTACAACATCTATAGATCTGACCGTCTTCATAACCGTGGAGGCGGTACAGCTATTGTCATGAAAAAATGCCTAAACAGTACCATCTTTCCTCTTCCCCTTGTAAATACGCATATATATTCTTTGTCGCTAAAACTCAATTCAAATCAAAATATAAAGAAATCTCACTTACCTGTCAGACGCATTCTCGCCTTTTATCATTTTCACTATATTTTATTGACGACACAATTAAATACATTTACAACAAAGAGAAGCACATATAAACTTTGGTTAATGTTTTGTGATGGTGTTACATCTTTCGCAATCATCAAGGTTCTGAACTAGTCCGAAGAATTTAAGCGCACACAGCGCCATCTGGTACATCACAGTTTCTACAGACTGCCCCCCGAATGGCCATGGGTTCATTCAAACACTTGCATTAATACAAATTTAACAAAAGAAACTCTTACAATGTAAAGTTCAATCAATTCACATATTAAAGAAACTACACTTATTTACTATATAAACAAATCATTCATCTTTAAACAATTTGTAAAGTTACCTGCAATAAAGTATAATAAAGATAATAAGCTGGCATCTCAATACCTGTACATACATTAAAACTTTCATCACATATATGGAATAGTCCTGTAACAATAATACAGATTAATAAACATATAAATTTTTTAATTTATTTCAAGATTATATAAAAGCTGCACAGGTCTTTTAATAACTGATGTACCTGTTTTAATTTCACAAGACCTTACTTTTCCATCTCTGCTAGGAAATATTGTTACAACTCTTCCTAATTTCCAAGAATGTCTAGGTAGCTTTTCATCATGAATTAATACAATATCATTAACTTTAAATTCAGTAATTCTACCTGAAATTTTAACACAATGAACAGATCTCAGCATTAATAAGTATTCATTTTTCCATTTATTCCAAAACATACTAACCAATCTTTCTCGATAATTAAATCTTTTAATTAGCATTTTCCTATTAACTAAATTAGAATCAAAATGAAGCCTGGCAGGAGGCAAACTATTCACCCTGCGCCCCAATAGCATATGAGCTGGAGTTAGAGGCATAGGTTCCTGTAATTCAGAATAAACATAAGTTAAAGGACGAGAGTTAAGAACACCTTCAATTTCAATAATTAGAGTTTCTAACTCTTCTCGAGATAAAGTGGATTTTCTTAGAGTTTTTCGTAAAGCAAGTTTTACAGATTTAATTAGTCTCTCATAGAAGCCACCCCACCACGCAGCTTTCTCAGTGATGTAGCACCATTGGATTTTGTGGGAGGCGTAAAAGTCTTTTACTGTTGGCATGACTAATGACAGTCCACAAATTTTTAAGTTCAAGTTCTGATCGTTTGAAAGTTTTGGCATTGTCCGTCAAAACTTGAGAACATAGACCTCGACGAGCAATGAATCGTCGAAAAGCAAGAAGAAATGTTTCTGTGGTCATGCTACCAACAAACTCTAAATGAAGAGCTCGCGTTACTCCACAAGTAAACAACACGATGTAGTTTTTCTCATCACTGTCTTTGGTATAAAGTGGTCCACCGAAAATCTATACCTACTACAGAAAAAGGAGGTAATTCTTCTGTTCTATTTACTGGTAAAGGAGCAGTAACTTGCACACCAGGAGAAGAATTAAATCGTTTACACAGAATACATACATTTTCTTAAGATATTTTTAACAGTTTGTCTTCCTTAAATTATCCAGTATCTTTCGCGTATTTCTATCAAAGTTTCAGAAATTTCCACCGTGAAACACTTTGCTGTGTGCATCCCACACTAATAAATTCACAAAGTGATGTTTTGAGGGCATAATAATTGGGTGTCTTTGAAAGTAAGAAAGTCTCGACTTCTGAAGTCTTCCACCAACATGCATTATCCCGTCATTATTAAGAAAGGGATTCAGTTCTAGAATAGAGGAAGTCTTAGAAATTGTTTTACCCTGTCTCAAAGAGGACAGATCTTCCGCAAAAGCTTCACTTTGAACAGTTTTTGTCCAGATAATTTCAGCCTCGTTAAGTTCTTCAGTGCTTAGTTCACCACATCGTTTAGTTTTAAATTTAAGGTTGTATATAAATCGTAGTATCCAACTTGTAACACGGTATACAATTTTCTTAAACTACTATATCTATTCAAATCCATTAAATGTGTCAAATTCGATTGCAGCTTCGCACACAAAAGACGATACTTCTTCCAGTTTACTTCTTTTTTCGCAATATACTTCTGGAGAAATCTCTAGACAAATTTCATAATTAGAGCCTTTTGGCCAATCCCTTTTCTTCAACCGAAGCCATTCTGGACCTTGCATCCAAATTCGAACTGGACATAAACTTTTCCACGGTAGCTCCTCGAGATATGAAATCTGCAGGATTATCCTGCCCACTACAGTGATTCCAATCAGCAGGATCAGTTCTAGACTGGATTTCGGATACACGGTTTCGATACAAAAGGTTTCCATTTTGAAGCTTTCCCTTTAATCCAATGAAGAGCGATTAAGGAATCTGTCCACATATATAACCTAGGCACAGGAAATTTAAAATTTGTTTTCAAATATTGGAAAAGTCTAGAAGAAATAACAGCTCCCATAAGTTCAAGCCTCGGTAATGTCAACTTTTTAAGCGGTGCGATTCTAGATTTCGCAGTGATAAAACTCGTATAAATACAATCATCACTTGACACGTAACGGAAGTACGCAACTGCTCCGCTTTAGGAGAAGCGTCAGAAAATATGTGTGTAGTTCTAATTCTTTCACCAACTTCCATGGTATGGAGAAATATTTTCTTTCGATTGTCAAATCTTTCAACAGATAAATCTGAGAGCACCAATTATCCCATTTTTTCTTCAAGTCAGTTGATAGCTCATCATCCCATCCTAAACCAAGTTCCCATATTTCTTGCATTAATAATTTTATGAGAACAATAAAAGGTGATGCAATTCCCATAGGATCAAATAACTTCGAAGCTGTCTGAAGTACACTACGTTTTGAATTCTTCTTCCTATCACAGATCATGTCCAGTAGAGGTTTTACATCTAACTTAAAAGTATCTTCTTCGGTGTTCCATATTATGCCTAAAACCTTCAAAGGACGTTCTTTAGTTTCTGTCACATCAGACAAACCTCGTTCACTCCATAAATTTTTCAACTCATCCAAATTAGTATTAAATTCTCTTAAATTCATATTCGCATCTTTAAGAATTTTTACAGCGCTCTGTGAAAGTTCTAAAGTTTTCTCTATTGTATTTGCTCCGTAAAAAAGATCATCTACATAAAGTTCCGAGTCAAGCATTTCACAAGTTTCGCTTTGTTCAAGTTTATATTTTCTAAAGTGGTATTTAATAGTCGCAGCAAGGATAAATGGGCTAGATGTCACTACAAAGGGAACGCGAGTCATTCGTAAAATTTTGTAAGCTTTTGAATCATTTTCATCTGGAAACCAGAAAAAACGTAAATAATCTCTATCCTCTTCCGCTATTCCTATGGTCAAAAATGCTCCCTGAATATCACAGCTGAATGCATATTCATATTCGCGAAATCGCAAGATTACATCCAAAATTCTGGGATTCAACGGTGGCCCAGGATTTCAAGCATTCATTAAGAGATTTGCACCCATTACCTTTTGACGATGCATCGAAAAACCAATCTGACTTTCGTAGTGTCCCTATCCGATCTTACTACAGCTGAATGAGGCATATAATAAGAATTCTCTTCTAAGCCGAAAGAGACATTCTTCAACGATATTCAGTTTTAATTGCTCCTTAACTATATTCTTATATTCATTATAAACCCAATCATTTTCTTTCATTTTTACACTTAATTTACGAAATCTTCGTTTTGCTACTGCGAAATTGTTAGGCAAGTTTTCTGGTTTACCGTCCCAGAATAATTTAGTTGTATACATTCCATTTTCATATTTTAAATTACTTTCGAATTGAGAAATAAATTCCTCTTTAAATTTAAAATCTCCACTGTGAGTATCATTTATCCCCATTGAATCTAACTGCCAAAAGTGCGTTAGTTTTTCATTTAATGCGGTGCAACATTCAATTTTCATAATAGAAATATCCCGATTCGCATTTAAATCCGATGGAGGGATTCGACCTTGAACAACCCTTCCAAACAGAGTATCAATCAAATACAAAGATTTGTTTAATCGCTGTTTTTCTCCCGTATGAATATCCCAAAAATACAGTGCTCCAATAAGCAGAGACAGTTCATTTTCTGACGATTTACTTAAGTTTGACAACTTAATGTTCTTCTTCGAAAGTATTTGCATTAATTTGTTATGTGATACTTTAAACTGCGATCCAGAAATACAGTCAGTCAAAAGTGCTTCAATCGTTATTTTCTTGTTCGAATCACATAAATTACAAAGTGTAAACCGAACTACGTCATACGTTTTTCGTATTGGCACTCTAGAGCCGAAAGTGTAAAAAGCTAGACTTTCTTGTCTAATTATGGGTAGTTTCATTTCTACGGCTACTTCTTTTCTCAAAAAACATCTCTGTGACGCATTATCTAACAAAATATTAATCTCCTTACTTTTATTATTGCCTATTAATACTGCCGAGCAAGTTTCAAGTAGTATGTCACAATCATCGGATTCATTCACACATGCTACGGAAGACACAACATTTAATTTATTCGCGTCGACGGTCTGACGAGACTCCAGAGGGGGGGGGAGAAGAATAAACATTGGGTTGATCGCAAATCAATTCGTGATGCATAAAACGTTTACAAATTCCACAAATAGATTTCTTTTGACACTGCTTATATACGTGCCCCTTCGAAAGGCAAGCGTAACATATACCATAGTTTCTAAGAATTAATTTTCTCTGTTCTACCGATAAGGGACAAGAGGTAGAATTCGTGCTCTATTTTCGGTTTTGTACAAAATATAACATTTTTTCACATCAACAATAAATGCAGAAGTAGTTAGGAATGTTCGAATTTAATTTATTTTTCCCGTTATAATTCAACTTTGGTTTTATTAAATCTCCCATACTTTTGATTAGGTTTTTGTAGAGGATTAAATTTAGTTTCCAATCGCGAATCTGAAGTGTTTAAATTAAAGTCTCTACTTAAGTACTCGTTACACGTTAACGACAGTGAATTTCAATCTTTAAAAATTTCCAATAAATCAGATATTTTGTTTTCATCTTCCGAATGTGTTTTTACGAGAAAATTCTAAGGACAAATCTTTGGGTATCGATTTTAACAACACTGGATACAATAGACAACTGTAACTATTAGGATTAATTCCGTATTTTCTAATCCTCGAATATGTGTTTCGCATTCTGAGTAAAGTCTACGCAACGCTACAATGTCCATCATAACAATTTAAATTATTCAATTCGCTAAATACGCGTTTTTCAGTATTCAATTTGCAATTTACTTTATCTAAAGGTCTATCCCGGGTTTCGGCACCAAAAAGATTTGTAAATACGCATATACATTCTTTGTTGCTAAAACTCAATTCAAATCAAAATATAAAGAAATCTCACTTACCTGTCAGACGCATTCTCGCCTTTTATCATTTTCACTATATTTTATTGACGACACAATTAATTACATTTACAACAAAGAGAGGCACATATAAACTTTGGTTAATGTTTCGTGATGGTGTTACATCTTTCGCAATCATCAAGGTTCTGAACTAGTCCGAAGAATTTAAGCGCACACAGCGCCATCTGGTGCAATACAGTTTCTACACCATTTATGAGCTTTGAAGCAAGTGCATGTATTTTGAACAGTGATAATAAAAAATACCTCATCATTGCTGTCTATTAAGCCACCCAACAATAGCCTCAACACTCAAGATCTTGACTATATTCTCAACTTAGGTTATCCAACTGTTATTGCTGGGGCTACTTAAATTGCAAGCAAGCTAACTGGAACTCCAGGCGAAATAATCCACATGGAATTATTCTTAATAGTTACATCATCAACAATCCTGATATCAACATTTATGGTCCAGATGAACCTACGCATCTTCATCAAATCTCAAATACTTCTGATGTATTAGACATCTTAATTACCTTCAATGTTCCTCAAATACCTTTTCTCCAAGTGGATAAAGAACTTTTTTTCAGATCACCTACCAGTACATTCACTTTATATGGCTTAAAGCATGGTCTTCCGCCTATAAAGTGCCTTATTAATTGGGAAAACTATGCTTATCACCTTGAAGAAAACATATCTGCTACCACTAAAATGACTAATAACAGTGAAATTCATGATGCCACAGTCTATCTTAGCAGTAAAATCAACGAAGCCATCAACCACGCCAAATTTATTCCAAAACAGCTCCCACATAATATTAGACAGAAATATACGCTCCCACATAATATTAGACAGAAAATTACAGAGAA